CTCATAAAAAATACCTAGAAACTTGCACCCACTTGTGAAAGAGATGTACTCTTGCTCTGGAGTATGTTACTGAATATGTTAAACTTGTAATGAAATGCTTCTTCTAATTAAAAAAATGACAATAAAAAGACAACTTACTTTAACATTCAAAAAAAATTAAAATACTTCCAAGTTAATGATATTTAGTTATTTGTAAATGCATAAAATAAATACAAAAACTGGTAAAAAATATTTTATTTATTATTTAAAAAAATTTTTTTTTGTGTGTAAGTGCCCCTGTGTCAGGCAATGCCTGCAGAGATCAGAAGAGGTCATTAGCTCTCCTGGAACTAGAGTTACAGAAGGTTGTCAGTCACCAGGTGGGTGCTGGGAATAGAATTTAATGGGGTCCCCTGCAAAAGCAGCTAGTGCTCTTAACCGCTGAGCCATCTCTCTCCAGCCCTCATCTAGTTTTATTCATATATTTTCTTTATGCTCGTATAATTTTCTTCAGAATTCAAACACACAGGTTGAAGTTATTTGTAATGTAAATTATAATGCATAATAATAAATATATAGACTTATAAGACCAGGTTCATTTTATATATAAAAAGGATTCTTAGTTTCAGAGGAATGAAGTCTTAGAGTCATAACTCATATCCATAACTAAAGGACATGTAATTTATTCAAGTAATTGTCAAATTCTGTTCTTCCAGGATAGCCCTTTTAAGTATATACCATGGATCTTCTCCAGAGATTCTTTAGCTAAAGTTTATTCAGATTTTACTTTCCTTGAATTATTAATATAGTGACCTGATTTTATTCTTTGTTCTTATTAGTTTTGTTTGTAAATAAGGATGAAAGGTATGGTGGCATATACCTCTTCATACTTAGGGGACAGCAGCAGAGGATCATGAATTCCAGATCATTTAAGGTCACATACTGAGTCAGAGGCCTCTCTGACTACATGAGACCCTGTCTCAAAAACCAAAACAAACAATCAAATATGTAAGCAATCTTAGGTATTGCATTATGTGTTTTTCCAAATTTGCCTTTTCTCTCTCCAGCTTCTCATCTACCTTTGCATTCATTCAACTGAAATATTTTCAGTCCTACAGATTTGCTTATAGAGAAAAATAATTGTAATTCAATATTGTATGTTAAAATCACTTCAATCTTATTTTTCTTCATGAATGTGATGCTCTTTACAGTGGTCTTCTTGCTGAACTTTTTCTAATTTTCTCCTTTCTTATTCAAATTTAACTTATTATACATGTTGCTCCAGAGCTGTCTATCAAAAATCAAGTTTGGTTATGCTTTAGAATATACCACAAATTTGCAATATTTAAAAAATGATAATTTTACCAAATTATAAAGAAATAATATGAGGAAAAACATATTTAAACTATATATATAAATCAGGAAACAATATATTGTTACATAAGAAATTTTGGCTATTTGGGAAAATGAAAGATGTCTCAGATGTCATATAATTCATTAAATATTTAGAAGTATACTGCTGTGGGTCCAAAGGTAAAATATGACCCATATATTTAGAAAGCTGAAATACAAAAAAAAATTAGAAAAAAATCTAATAACATATGTGTTAATTTTTCAAAGAAGGCCTTTATGTTCATGCCAAATTCAGAAAGTAAATTGCACTTGGTATTGTTTCCTTCACAGAATGAATAAATATGATGTTTCTCTGTTCCATCCAGTGGCTGAGAATGTGAAATTTGCACTCATGTCAAAGGGAAAAGGAGAAATTGTCATAAATATTCTTGTCTGTGACACAGCGATTCTGTGTATTGAATTAATATGAAGGAGATAGACAGAAAAATACATTTGTAAGGTCAGTTTAATTAGAAGTATTCCTTGAAATCCTAATCAAAAGCTATTCAAGAATATGGGACTGATTACCTAGGCAAATGAATAAATTCATTCAAT